TTTTTTTTTTTTTTTTTTTTTGCAAATATTAGCTATCTAGCCAAATGGGCAAATATTCCGATGGTGTGTAACTGCAACTCCACATGTGAAGCTCGTCCAATATATAACCATGGAGTAGGGTGACACACATTACTTCGTTTTTATTTTATTATTATTTTTTTTCCTGCCCGACAGGTATGAACAGTTTTATAAGCATGTTCCGCTCATAGCCGCTTTGCACAAAATTGATTTCGTTTTGATTGAGCAACAGTAAGTGGAGAAAAGAAAAAACTCATGTGCGGGAGCAAGTATTGACATATCCTGTATGCACCAGTTCATGCGGTAGCTTATACCCATTCCGATCATCCCGTTGCCCTGCTCACCCTGCTCTAATCTTTTCATCCCCCCCCCCCAGGTATGTGAGCACGCCGGATTTTGTCACATTACCCAAAACGGGTCTCATCGGAATCCTCCCGCTGCAGGAGGAAGATCAGTCACTTCCGGGTCTTGCCAAGCAAGTGCAAAGCTTAGTGTCTGCAGTGCACACCTACCATTTGGAGATAACCCCCCCGTACTTGTTTGGCCACCCAAGTAATGACAAAGCAGAATATATAAAAAACGGGCACAGTGCGAAAAAGTGCGCCACGAACAATAACACAATGCGCTGTGTGTGTGTACACGCTCCGCCGTTGTGGTCGCCCATTTCTTTAGCCGATTTTCCCACACACACACCACCCCCTTGACAGACTACATCAACACGAAATTTAAAGTCGAAGAGATAAAGGGAAAGCCCTGTGCGAAACATTTGTCGCGCAAGGAGAGAAAGGCTTTACGGAAGTCAATACGAAAAAGTAACATATAAGTTTGAGGTGATTACACAAGAAAAAATGGAGACGAATGAGTAAAAGAAAAAAAAAAAGAAAAAAAAAAGGGAATGGAATGGAAGAAAAACGTAGCACTCGAATGAAGGCTGCGTCATTTATATTACGTCTTGGCTTATTATGGGCCCCCAAACGGTTTGTCTTTATGACATTTGAAAGTACACCCGTTGGGCTGCCTCTTTCTCGTGGGTTCTCCTTATTCTGTGTGAGCGTCCTTTACAATTTGTTGTCCGTGTTTTAGCTGCGTCTTCTCTTATCTCTCTCTGAATTACTTCTTTGTCATGTGTGTGTATTGTATCTGCATATAGCGCGTCAGTTATGTGTACCGTTTGCTTTAATTGCGCCTTTATCGCGTCCTCATCCTTTCCTTCACCGGGTGCGCATTCCCGAGCCACCCCTTTTGTGCCCTCCTCCAACTACCACCAAAAACGCTCTAATAAACCCGAGGGATGTACCCTCGAGTGTGCACACGAATGTGAAGGTGAAGTGGAGCAAAAAAAAAAAAAAAACAGGACTAGCGATCCGATGACCATTACTATATTTATATGGCCCTTGAAATGAGGTAGCGCAGTTACAATACGGTTACTATGTTGTGGTGTTCCCAAGGCCTCTTGTTCTGTTCGCATTTATTTATTGCTTTCCCCCCCCCCCATTTTGACTTTAACGCGCTTCAGTTATGGTACCACTTGGGCGGGTTAAGAATAATGTGACATTTCCGTTTTGGCGAACGTTCCACTTATGGCCTCTTTTTAGGACTGCTCGACCAGCGCCTTTGTTAATTTGAAAAGGGGCGAGGAGCGTAAGCGAGCGCGATATAAGGAAAAGTAAACGATGGATGGGCCCGCGTACCCAAAGGGGAAGAAACAACTCTTTCGCCAGAATGGGCTCCATTTTTTTTTGCTAATTTTGTTTACCCCCTTTTTTGTGTCATCCCTTCCGAACATAGTGATTTCTAGGCTTGGCAAATTTTTGCGCTCTCCGAGCTGACCACCCCTCCCCCAACACACACGTATACACACATACAGACGTACACACGCGCAGCTGGATCATATGTATTTTACTAAGGCGCATTTAACCACTCGGTATTTTTAGCCGCCTCAAAAAAAAAAAACTGAAGCAAACGATTTTACCTCCTGCCCCCTCCCCACCGTTGGTCTAAATGGAAAATGAAGACTCCGTGGATGATAGCACCAGCACTGAAGAAGACCCCCGTGAAGAGAAAGCAAAATACAACACAAACTCCGTAGGATGCTGCTACAATTTCTCAAGCGAAGTGCTCAAATTGAGTGTAATTTCGTATTACTTTTGGACGTCCTTTTGTTACATAGGTGGATCGATTACATTTATATGTGGGTACACAACTTGGTCCTTGAGAATACATGATCAGATTGTATGCGCAGCCTCGTCCAACGTATATGTCTTTTCCTCCTTATGGTTACTTATTGGTATGATTTCTGTGGCCACCTGTATATGCTACGCCATGGCCCTAGACGGGAAGGGTAATCAAATACAGGCTGCACAAAACTCCCCCTTATTTTTAAACTTATTGGGGATCCTTTGCAAAACCGTCCCCACCATCGTGCGCGTAATTCATATTTTCAATTTATTTCAACTGTACGTAATGACGCTCGATGTTATGATTTTGCCTGAGTGCAATTCTTTTGTTGTGAGATTTATTTTGTTCATTGTTCATATTTTATGGTGGACTATTGTACTTTTGGGTGTTGTCTCCAGGAGGAAAATATTTTTACCTCCTCATTTGTACAAACCTATAACAAACGACGTGGGGTATTTTGTCCATGTCAATAACATGTTGCATTCCTTTGGCCTATAAACATTTTATTTTTCACTCTCTGCAACGGTTTGTGTGCGGAAGTTGTAGCAAGAGACGGGGGGGCTCTTCTCTCCTTTACCCCTTGGCCAGCTTCTCTGCCCATCGTTTGCGTGACTTATTTTTTTTCCTCAAAATTCTTTGGTTTCGTTTCTTGAGGCTCTTTTCATCCTAAAGCGGGGGGCAATGTTGCATGGGTGGGTAGGTGCATCATATTCAGCGAAGCACATCAATGGGGAGAAGGGACATAACCCCCAAGGAAACAACAAAAAAAAAAAATACATAACAGCAGAAACAGCGCATAAGAGGTAACAACATTACGGCTCATATGAATGTATCATGCATTTTTGAGGACGCTTCGTTGGACGCCTCAGTTGTCGCGCACGCTGTTCGCTGCTTTCCTCTCCTTACGTAAATTTTTTCTCCCTTGGACTTGCGCAGGGCCTTCTGCACTTGCAGCATATGCTCCGCCTTTTCCTTGTCCTCAGCGTCCATTTTGCTGATCATAGCCTTTTCCTTTTTGAGCTTTCTGCGGGATGAGGACATTGCGCGGTACGCGATGCGGCATGAGAAGTGGTGTGTGCAATGATGTGCGACACGATGAAGTGAGGGAACCAGTGAAGCCACACCTGTCGCTAACGCCGCCATCGTCGCCAACCACGCCAACCGCGACAACGACGGCAGGGTGGAGCGAGGGGATGACTCACCTGATATCTCTCTTCATCTGAACGATCTTTGGGAACGTCTTCTTCGCACCGTCCTTCTCGTTTAACTCAGCCATGTTCCCAATGATCAAATCGTCTGAGCTGTCGCTTTGAGCATCCTTCAAGTACAGAGGGGCGGAGGGAAAAAAAAAAAAAAAGTGAATGAATACGCGATGTAGAGCATGGAATGGTGTAATGGCAAAGGGCGGGTTATTACCGCTTAGGGTGAGCAGTGTACTTTTTGCAGCTAAGCTCTCAAACGTGTTCTCTTCGCCATGGGGGGAAATATGTACAGCGACGACATAGGACACACTTTTTTTACCCCCACGTAATGATCAACCAACCTGCGTTATGTCCCCCGCTGGGGTACCCCTTGGACCTTTTTTCAAAGACACAGCATTATTGTCCCCTTTGGACTTTTTACCCTTCATTTCGCATATTAGGGGTGAATACGGTGCCACGCTAAAATTAAAACCTCTTTCTCAAAGTAACGTCTCAATTAGCTGCGCAAAAGGCAGACTCCCATAATTGTTCAACCGTCTCGACGGAGTAAACATGCATTGGCTAGCTTTAAAATTGTATAGCCAAAAAAAAAAAGGAAAAAAAAAAAAATATGAACTGTTCAGGCAAAAATGGAACAAATGATTAATTTTGGAAAAAAGAAAAAAAAAAAAAAAAAAAACGTTCATTTTAACATTTTCTCCACTTGTTTGGAAAAATGAACGTAATATATATGAGAAACAACGGGATGAAACCAGATTTAGAAAAATGTAGTCGTCATTTCGCCCGTGTTGTCGATATGGACTTTTTGCTCACATGCAGGATTTACTTATTAGTGTAAGGTCGTTGTTCATGAGTATGAAGCAAAATGAATACAAAACAACGCGCACAAAATGCACCAATTTGGCGGGGCGTCAAATATGCAAAAAATCGTTGTCACTGCGGGAGTGGTGTTAAAAAATGGGAGTATTGTTTTTTTTTTTTTTGTTTTGTTTTTTTAAAGTGCGATCATTAAAGTGCCGCCATCGCCGGCCAAGACGAGTTGTTTACTTAATATATTAATTTAAAAGTGTGTGTAAGTTGTTCGTTCTCAGTTTTGGGAGAACTCCTCCCTAACCGCTGCGTTTGGCTCTTCGGCATCGAAGAGGGGCAGGGCGTGCTGAGGGAGAGTCAACTGAGATGTAGGAGTGTGACGCTGGTGAAGTTGTGTGTGGTGCGCAGGAAGATGGAAAAAGGGGAAAAAAAAAAAAAAAAAAAAAAAAAAAAAAAAAAATAAAAATGCAAAACTAGGGATAAATTATTTTGGGTTTTAGAATAAAACGGGT